GAGAGATTCTGCTTCTGTTGGGTAAATAAAATGTAGTACACACAAAAACTGGTTGATTTCATGTATAAGAATATATATATTGCAGTGTGTGGGAGGATAAAATAGGAAAAAATGGGTTTTATTTACTTTCTATCCCTCCATCCATTCTATATTTAGCATAATTTGTCTAAGAATGTATGGCCAAAAGTATATGGACACTTGAACATTTCACCCATATGTGATAATGGACAATGGGTATTAATCTGCTATTTCAGCCTCCTTTCTTCTGGTTTCCATCAGATGTAGGATTCCCTGGCTGCAGAGATTTGCTCCCGTTCATTCACAAGAGCATTAGTGAGGTCCGACACTGGTGCTGGGTGAGGGGTCAGTCGGCGTTTCAGTTCCATGCCAAAAAGGTGTTGGGGTGGGGTTGAGGTCCAGGCTCTGTGAAGGCCACTCAACCTTATCCACATCATACTGGGAAAACCAATGGCTTTACACACAGGGGGAAAGGTCACGTTGAAACAGGAAATGGCCACTAAAATTGGAAAAGCATTAAGATAGACTCAAACACTCATCTCATTGGAAAATCACGTCAACAAAAGCGCCATATTCTTACAAATATTTCTATTACTAACTAACTACAAAAAAATGCAAATATTTTTATATTAATTTCATCTTTATTGTTTGCAGCCAAACAACAAATGAAGGTCCAAAACCTGCTCTCTTCTCATTAACCGCACCTTTGAACTTTGCCATCATTTTGCACCAAGCATAATACATTCAGACACATACAACTGACTCCCTGAAACACGTCAGAATTAGTTTTTAGGTCTAACTTGACCATGCTGGGACAATAAAGACATTTTTTTTTTTAAATTTCTTGTGAGTTTTATGAAGCAAAATACATTTCTAAAATAGAATTCTGTTTTTATTTTAATTGTTTATAAAGAGGTAGTTTAAATTGACATGGAACAACTCGAAAAAAAAAAAATCTGATTATATTATATTATATATCATGTCGTGGGCCAGACTGAAGGGGGTGAAGGGCTGGAAATGTCCCCGGGCCGATAGTTTGAGATCCCTTCATTAAGACTTCCCCTCATCGGAACAACACCCTCAGGCCAGAAGTACGCCCTGTCCACATACTTTTGGCCATACAGTGTATCTTATCTCATTTCGAGGGTTATGGGGGCGTTTCAAGCACGTGTAAGCCAGAAGCCAGTCTATCACAGTTACACTTGTTCAAAATGGCCTCAAAACAAAGTCTCAACAAAACTGGACATATTAACCTTCAGAAAGGTTGAATGTGTTGCAGGGCTGTCACTGGATTGTATCACTTTCTACAGGAATTCATGATATTATATAAGTCCATTTTCTTATCTTGTTCCAACAACTTGAGCAAAATAAACTGATGTATCTGAATAACAGAGATAGCAATTTCTCTTTGCAGCTCCAGACCTTTGCTCTTTCTCATGTTGTTCTACATGTTCTGTCTTAAAACAAAGACTGCAATGTTTTAGAGAAAATGCCTCGCCGGCTTTTCAATTACTCTGAGCCCAAAATCTGTGAGAGATTTAAAAGAACCGTTTTGTTTATTTGTTCAGGTGAGAAAGATGCCATTTGGACTCTGAAAGCGCGAGTCGTCGTCCAAGAATTAGGAACATTAACAAACAAGGATTTATGGGTAGAATCCAGCTTTGTCTTTGTGTGCTCTTAATCTCGAACAGTATAAACACACTAATACCCCAGTCAAATCCATCACGTTTCACTTAAAGTGCAGACTGCAATCAGATTTGTGTTGACTGCCCCCGTCTCTCGCTGCCAAATTCTCTAACCTGGCAGGTTGACACGTTACAACAACTCTGTCCAATAAATAAGCAACTTATGAATTCATGTGACTGTGTTGTTGTTTCGAGCCGGTGTGAACTTTAACAAAAATGCAGTAACATAAACTTCCCTACAATAGTTTGATCCAAAGAATATAAACTGTAGATGTATGCTTGGACGCACTGCGTGGGGACTGTCTGTTTCTCAGTAATGGACATTGTGCACTGACTGAACTATTTGTCCTCCTGCATCTTTCTTCTTGTTGTTCCTGCAACATGTGGACCTGTTTGTACTTGTTACTATGTTGTCTCCTCATGAGTCACCAACACTGATTCCTGTTAAGTTACTACACTTGACAAACGCTGTAAATGTCACGCACAAGTTGACATTAACGGTGTAATTGTACCACCATAATGTCAACCAGACAAGTAAATGTTGATTTAACTCGCATGATAAAGACCTTAAAGAAATATTCTAGCAATCTAGTTTTCTTCTTTCCGATTAAATAAAACAACGATCACAAACGATGCATCATATGCTGTGAGATCCAGACTTTTACTCTCCAGTGTTCAAAGCTACACATTTCCCATGACGCAACTGACCAGAATCTTCCCTTAACCCCCCCCCCCCCCCCCATGTGTGGTATAACGTCTTCAAACTGCGACGCCGTTGACTTTGGATTATGATGTGTAAAAAACTCCAAGCGAAGATGACCGCAGCCAGACAGACAGAGCAGACGAGTAATGATTGTTTGATGTGGTAAAATTGGAGGAGTGTGGCTTTTAAAAGTGCCGCTTGTTCCCGTTATTTCTGATTTTCATTATCTTTAAATCTACATTATGTGTCTTTTTCTTTCCTAAATTTGTTTTGTTTATTATGTGTATTATTGTGTTGCTCTGTGTCGTTATTG